GTTCGCTCGTCGTTGGAGGCGTGCTGCTGAGTCTGGGGGTGCTGCTGGAGCTGGAGCTGGACCTTCTTCGACTGACAGGGGTGCTGGTGCTGCCGGTCCCGGAGCTGCTGGGCCTGCGGGTCCTCCTGGAGCTGGCGCTGCTGAGGGTGTTGGTGCTGAGACTGCTGCTGTTGGTCCTGCTGCTGGAGGAGTTGGTGGCCCTGGTGCTGTCGCTGAGGGTGCTGGAGCTGTCCCTGCTGCGCCTCGAGCTGCTGAGCGGCCTCGACCGTACTTCGTTCCGCTCCTGCAGCAGGTTCTTGGTCTTTCTCCTCCAGTAGAGAGTCCACCGCCTGTCCAGTCGCAGTCCCTGCTGGAGCCTTCCTCTCCACTACCTGCTCCCTCTCCTTACACTGGTCCTACTGGAGGTCTTGCTGAGCGTCGTGAGCCTGCGTCTCGTCCTGCGTCGCCTGTTCGTCCTGCTCGCGCTACTGGTCGCGGTTCGCGTCAGCGTCCTCCTCCTGTCCCTGGCACGCACCAGATGTCTTTGCGTCCGTCCACTGCTCCTCTGCGTGCCCCTTTGCCTTCTCCTCCTGAGTCCTCTCTTCCTGCGCTTGCCGACCCTGCGTCGGACTCTCTGCGTGCTGCCAGTCCTACTGTCACGCGTTTCCTTGCTACTGTGGTCACTGACCCTTCTTTCGAGTCTTCTGCTGCGTCTGCCCTACTCACTGAGCTTGTCGACTTTGCTGCTCGCTGTCGCTTAGACTACGCTGCTAGTCTTGTTGCTGAGTCTGCGTCTGTCTGTCCTCCGTCCGTCGGGGGTGAGTGTGCTCTTGGCACGGACGTCTTAGAGGACAGGCAGGAGGAGTTACAGTGTCTAGCGGCTGCTTCACCTCATCTCGCGTCTGTACTGCTTGCCCCTGAGGGAGACCCGGATGCACTAGACATCCCGACTCCGCGTTCTTACGCGGAGGCTGTAGAGGGTCCCTACTCCTCTCAGTGGCAGGCAGCTATGGATGCAGAGATGGCTTCCTGGAAGTCCACAGGCACCTACGTTGATGCAGTTCCCCCTCCTGGGGCGAACATCGTCAGTGGCATGTGGATCTTCAGGGTGAAGCGGCCGCCGGGCTCTCCGCCTGTCTTCAAGGCGCGTTACGTCGCTCGTGGCTTCAGTCAGCGGCAGGGAGTTGACTACTTTCAGACCTTCTCTCCCACTCCGAAGATGACTACTCTTCGGGTGCTGCTGCACGTTGCCGCTCAGCGCGACTACGAGCTTCACTCTCTCGACTTCAGCACTGCGTTCCTGCAGGGTAGCCTGCACGAGGAGATCTGGCTGCGCCGTCCGCCTGGATTCACTGGGACTTTCCCTCCTGGCACCCAGTGGAGCCTCCGACGGCCAGTCTACGGTCTCCGCCAGGCACCGCGTGAGTGGCACGACACACTGAGGACTACGCTTGCGGCTCTTGGGTTTGCTCCTTCCACTGCTGACCCGTCGCTGTTTCTTCGCACCGACACTTCCTTGCCGCCGTTCTACATCCTCGTGTACGTCGACGACTTGGTCTTTGCCACAGCGGACACTGCTGGACTCGCCTACGTGAAGTCCGAGCTGCTGAAGAGACACACGTGCACAGACCTGGGTGAACTGCGCAGCTACCTTGGCTTGCAGATCACTCGGGACAGAGCACGCCGCACCATTACCCTGACTCAGTCACACATGGTGCAGCAGGTCCTTCAGCGCTTCGGCTTCACGTACTCCTCGCCTCAGGCCACTCCTCTGCCTACTCGCCACTCGCTCTCAGCTCTGCCTTCGGATGAGTCCGTAGAGTCGAGTGGCCCGTATGCAGAGCTTGTTGGCTGCCTCATGTACCTGATGACCTGCACACGACCTGACCTTGCATACCCTCTGAGCATCCTTGCACGCTATGTTGCTCCTGGGAGACACCGACCTGAGCACATGGCTGCAGCGAAGAGGGTATTGCGCTACCTGTGCAGTACGTCGGGCATGGGGCTAGTGCTTGGAGGGCGGAGTCCAGTGGTCCTTACAGGCCACGCGGACGCTTCTTGGGCTGACGACCAGGCTACGCAGCGGTCGTCACAGGGTTACACCTTCAGCCTTGGTTCCGGCTCTGTCTCGTGGCGGTCTACTCGCTCGTCTTCGGTTCTCGGCTCCAGTTGTGAGGCTGAGATCTACGCTGGGGCCATGGCTGCACAGGAGCTTCGCTGGCTCACCTACCTGCTGACTGACCTTGGAGAGCCGCCTCGTTCTCCTCCAGTGCTGTACGTAGACAACAAGGCCATGCTGGCCTTGTGTCGAGAGCAGCGTCTGGAGCACAGAACGAAGCACATTGCTCTTCGCTACTTCCTTGCTCGTGAGCTGCAGCAGCGTGGTCAGCTGCGACTTGCGTACGTGGCCTCTGAGGCCAACACTGCTGATGTGTTCACCAAGGCACTCGCGCCTTGTGACCATCAGCGCTTCTGTACCCAGCTGGGTCTTGTGCCTGTCTTGCCTCACTTGCTCTCTTCCTGACTTCACTTGTACTGTGACATATATATATACCTGCTCTTGCTTGTCTAGTATTATATATATGTCTGTACTCCTGCATGTGAACTGGCCTCTGGCCCTGCTCTTGTGCTCGGACTGTGTGGTGACTTTGTGATCCACCCTGAGCTTGCTTTGCTTTGCTTGACTGGTCTTGTGACCCCTTGTTCTCCCCCACTTTGCCTATGGGGGTGTGTCAGAACATTATAGCTGATACATGTTTGTAGGCTATAGTGGGGTAGCACATATGGGGTACAGATTCCTAGGGTTGGTTATTTGTACCAATTTCTGACTTAGTCATTTCATTCCTCTTCTCATTGTTTCACAGGCGCTTATCCGAGGCCTGCGCTTCTATCCGGGGGCTTACGGTAATACATTGATGAATATAGAAAATTTGGGCTGTCATAAATTGAAGGAAGAACGGAATGCAATCTTCTGATTGATTATGCTAGAAATCTGCAATGCTTCCTGAATACTGGTATGTAACTTTCTACTAAAGTAGGAATGAAAGAGAGTAACCTCACCATTTGTGAGAGATCAACAGTAACTGTGACTGGAATTTATATCGAGCCTGCTGTTAATGAGAACAGCATATTATCTGAATAACAGCCATGAGGAACTTGTCTTGTCGTTTCTGAAGATTTTGAATTTATGGCGGTGCGGAAGTAACTCGGCTGTATATTTATTTTGCATCCTTCATTACGATGACATGAAATACCCCTGATGTGAGTGAGGACCTTTGATAATACCCCGGGGTGTCCACTGGAAGTAATTCAGCTAAAAGCAGAGGCACTCGGTGGTCGAAACCACCACTACGTTTTATGTTCTGGGACGGAACTCGAAGAAATTGTTTGTTGAAGCACCACCATACCTGAAAGGCGACGTTTCTTCGAAGTGATAAAACTCGCTGCTGCTCGGCCGTATATATCGTTGCTCGCTGGTGCATGTTCCAGAATCACACTGGACTTCCTTCCATCATCCCTTACAGAACAATGATTCCACCAGCAAGGGGGGAAAGCCATTCATTGGCGCAGTTTCTTTGTTGCAGATTTTTGCCGGACTGAATGGAGGGCTTGAAAACCCTCCTCATCCAGTTCGATTCGAAATGTGGGGTCCGCTTCGTCTGCTTGCCCTTGCCACACCAGCACTTCCCCTCAACTCCGCTAGTGCAGGTCCCCTGCCGCAAAAACCCAACCACAAGAATTTTCTGCGTGCTCTCCTCCTCCAAACCTAGCACCTGCGCACAAACCCTTACAACCAGCTGGTCCCGGTTTGTGTTCATAATCCATCCAGTGTGGATATTTGATTGATTCCCAGTGCTGATTCGGCAGGCATGGCAGCCCTTCTGTAGAGTTTTCAGTCAACTGGGGGCCGCTCGTTTGTTATTGCTCAACGCTTATATTGGAAGGCCAAAAAGTCGGCGACGAGGGAAGCTGTTCCGCTGCCCAACTTTCGGGCATGCGATGGTACCCAAAGTCTCTTCGATAGCCGAATCTACGTCTAGTGGTTCGGCGTGCTCCAAACCACTATGGTCTGGCAACTCGAACCTGAGCCGCGAAGTTACAGTGCGGGTACAGTATCCCACCATTCACGCGAGCCTCGAGAACCGATTGGTAGGAGCAGCTAGCAACTGTGGCGCACGCGTCAGGTCCCGTGGGGGAGGAGGAGCAATGAAAACCTTCTCGCACGCCTGTCAGAAGTTGTACAAACCAGGTGGGCGGAGGATGCAGTGCAGCAGATGCAATTGAACGTCAACTTCAAGGCCTCATCCACTCGCCACGCTTTGTGATAGTTTGTGTTTGGCAGTCCACTGCACGCCGAGTAACAAGCAAAATGGAGAGCGTCATTCATGGCAGTCCGTCAACTTCAGTCACATTGCCTGCAGATTAAGGAACACCCTCTCCCTACTATTACAGTAGAATTACTTCCCTAGTTTTCTAAACTTAGTCGCGCTGTTAGGTTCCGACGGCAACGCGAAACTGACTACAGAAAGCGAGGCGAGATGGACGACAGAGATCTAGTAGAGGATCTCGTAGGGGAGGCGGAGGGATACCCGAGCGCTCAGGTCGAAGCCTCCATTTTCGGATCCGAGCCGGAACCAGAATACTGCAAGTATAGCACAGGCCACATACGAGAGGAAATAGGGTTTGATGGTAGATACCTCAACTTTCGGCCAGATAGCGCCAAAATTGGTCAAATTCAGTCCTTCGGGTGTTTGTTACTCGTCGAAGAGAGCTCGTTTCGCATCCTCGCACTTAGTCGGAACGCGGTTGAGATGCTGGAGATCGACGCGCTTCCGGGAAACCCGGACTGGAAAGGCGCGATAGGCCTCGATGCGCGGAGTTTGTTTAAACTAACGAGCGTGGCGACGATTGAGAGAGCTTGCAGCGCGACGGATCTGAACATCGTGTGCCCTATCCTTGTTAGCTCGCACCGATCCGCTAACCCGTTTTACGCTATAATGAGACGATGCGAGGAAGGCTTAATGATCGATTTCGAGCCGTTGAAATTCGACCCGCCGTCAGGCCCCGTCACAGGAGCGCTCGCGTCTCACAAGCTTGCTGCGCGAGCCGTGGCGAGATTGAAATCTCTCCCCGTCGGCGACGTGCGGTTGCTGTGTAACACCGTCGTGGAGGAGATTGGCGAAATGACTGGTTACGACCGCATCATGGTGTACAAGTTTCACGAAGACGAGCACGGCGAAGTGCTGGCGGAGTTTCTCAACAACCAGAAGATCGAATCGTATCTGGGATTGCATTATCCCGCGACAGACATTCCCATGGTGGGTCCTCCTGAGTCCTGACGTTGCCGCGCTACTCGGGGGTAAAATGCTCTTTGCCTTAATCTTGACGAGGTATATTGCTCTTTGCCCTATACGCTGCACGAGTAGCCGGCCCTTACAAAGTTGAGGAGAGAGGAGACCAGAACAGATTCCAGAACCAAATAATTCTGTGCGAATTTTACGTGGATAGCTCCACGTGGCATTGCAACAAGGTTGGCAGAGTAGGTGTGCATGCGTGACGTGGAGGCCGTCACTGGTTGCACGTGCTCGGCACGCGGCGAGGAAAGGGGGTTTGTTCCAAGTATAAACTACATGTACTGTTTGAATTTGAATTGAATGTGGACGCAACAGGCTAACAGGCTTGCAGGAGGGAAAGAACCTGCCTTTTCCCGTCCGTGATGGAAGAGACAGGGCACTGCAGGGAAGGGAACTCCCTGACCGGTTCCGCTCCTGGGTCGGCCTAGACTGAGACTGACTGACTTTGGCCGAGTGACTGAGACTGTCACTGACTGGTTGAGTAAGCGAGACTGTCCGAACGACTGACACTGACTAAGGCTGACCGAGCGACTGATGCTGGACTGACTGAGACTGACCGAGTGATTGAGACAGACTGCTACGGACTGAGAGTGACTAAAATTGACAAAGTGACTGAAAATGACTGCTACCGTCTAAGAGTGGCTGAGGCTAACAGAGTGACTGAGATTGACTGACTGAAATTGACCGACAGAGTGACTGAGATGGACCGTCAGAGTGACTGAGATTGACCGACAGAGTGACTGAGATTGACTGAGATTGACTGACAGAGTGACTGAGATTGACTGAGATTGACCAAGACTGACAGAGTGATTGAGTCGGGCTGGTAGAGCGCGGAGCCGTCCATGGGATGAGACCCCGGAATTGGGAGAGTATGAGCTTTTTCTGTGGTGGATTCATGAGCTTATTTTAGACGCTGTGGTGGCATGGCGTGACTGTATGGGATTATGACTGCATGGAGACATGAGTGTATGGAGGCATGACTTTTTTGTTTCACTAATGGGACCGTCTGAGTGACTGAGATTGATCAAGCCAGTGAGAATGAGATTGGTGGAGCGTATGAATAAATGAGACTAACGGAGACTGACCGAGACTGACCGAGAATAACGGAGACTGACCGAGACTGACTGAGACTGACAGAGACTGACTGAGACACGTCCGGAAGTACGCCCACCAGCATGTATCTGTCTCAAACGGTCTTTGTATTCATGTTCTCCCTCGCTCTCTCCATCCCATGCTGTGGCCATGACCATGGACAGCTAGGAGTTAATTCCAAGGCGAATTTTTGTCGCCCCTTTCCTTGGTTTCCCATTCCCGCTTCTACCTCTTCCCCTCCTTCCAGATGGCGCAGTGCACGTTCATAGAGAACCGGGTGCGTATGATCGCGGACAGCAAGGCGTCAGTTGTGGACGTGCAGTGCTGCAGGGCCTTCCCCTCCCCCCTCCGCCCTCCCCCCTCGTCTCCCCCTCCCGTGGTTGAATGAACCTGCGTCCTCTCCCCCTTTTTTCTCCCAGATGGCGCGCCGCACGTTCATGGAGAACAGGGTGCGCATGATAGTGGACAGCAAGGCGGCAGGGGTGGACGTGTTGCACCAGGGCGCGCTGCCGGGGGGGCTGTCTCTGGCGCACAGCACGGTGCGCATGGTGCGGTCGTGCCACCGCGAGTACATGGCCAACATGGGCACCCTCGCGTCTCTCGTGCTAGCCATCACCGTCAGCACCGGGTGAGTGAATGGGTGGGTGAGTGGGTAGGTGAGTGGGCGAGTCGTGTGTGGAATAAGGGAGAAAGTCTGGCTAGAAATGGGGGTGTTGTGGGGGTGTGAAGACAGTTGGAGTGTTGGGGGCCTGTCTGGCGCACAGCACGGTGCGCATGGTGCAATCATCATGCCACCGCGGGTACATGGCCAACATGGGCACGCTCGCGTCTCTCGTGCTAGCCATCACCGTCAGCACGGGGTGAGCGAGTGGGTGGTTGAGTGGGTTGATGACTGACTTAGTGAGTGAGTGAGTGGGGAAGTGAGTGAGTGAGTGGGGAAGTGAGTGAGTGAGTGACTGAGTGACATGGAAGGAGGTGGGCTAACATGGGCACAGTCGACTCGTTTGTCCTCGCCATCACAATCAGCACCAGGGAGTGAGTGTGTGAGTGCGTGTGTGAGCGAGCGAGCAAGTCAGTGAATGATTGATTGATTGATTGAGTGAGTGATTGAGTGAGGGAGGGAGTGAGGGAATGAGTGAGGGCATGGATAATCATGTTTGTTTGTTTGAAAGTCTACTGGAAATGAGGCCGTTTTTGTCTCTCCCATCCCCTTCCCCTCAGAAGTTTGCACTGCCTCTCTGCTTTTATTGTACCTTCCCTCCCTCCCTCCCTCCCTCCCTCCCTCCCTCACTCCCTCCCTCCCTCCCTCCCTCCCTCCCTCCCTCCCTCCCTCCCTCCCTCCCTCCCTCCCTCCCTCCCTCCCTCCCTCCCTCCCTCCCCCCCTCCCTCCTCTCTGCCCCTTTCTTTCCTCCCTTGCGCCTGCTGCATGCACAGCACACTGTTGCTCCGCATGCCTCCGCCTCCCTCTCATGTCTCATCCATGTGTCCACGTTCTGAGTCGACTCAAGAAGTCGTACGCCTCCCTCCTTTCATCATCTGCTCCTCCTTTCTCTTTCCAACATCCCACACCACAGGGAAGCAGGGGCGGCAGCAGCTGCAGCAGCGGCGCCACCCAATGACGTCGCTGGGGCTGGGAAGGCGGTTCGGGCCGAGCCTGGGCGGCGGCTATGGGGGCTGGTGGTGTGCCATCACTGCTCGCCGTGCATGGTGCCCTACCCCACTCGCTCCGCCTGCGAGTTTCTTGTGCAGGTGACCCCCTGGTCTTCACCTTGGCTATCATTAGATTCCTTAGCTACTGCCTTCCCCCGCTTGCTTGTCTCCTCTACGGTCCCCTCCCAGCCCTTCCACCCCAACCCTTCCACGCCCAACCTTGGCTGGTGGTGTGTCACCACTGCTCGCCCTGCATGGTGCCCTACCCCACCCGCTCCGCCTGCGAATTCGTCGTCCAGGTTCGCCCCTTCCATCCTGCTTGTCTCCTCCTTTTCCACCTTCCACCCCCAACCCGTCCACTCCCACCCCTTCTATCCCCAACGCTGGTGTCACCACTGCTCGCCCTGCATGGTGCCCTACCCCGTCCTCTCTGCCTGCAAGTTCCTCGTCCAGGTGATGACACCCTTTTTGTCCTGCTTGGCCCCCTCCTTTCCCCTCCCTTCTCTCTCTCCCCTCCTCTCTTTCTGCCGTGTACCTCGCTTACTCTCGTCTTCCCTCCTCATTCTCTCCATCCTTTCTCCACCTTTCTCTCCCCACCCCGTCCCTTCCCACCCCGTCCCTTCCCACCCCGTCCCTTCCCACCCCGTCCCTTCCCACCCCGTCCCTTCCCACCCCGTCCCTTCCCACCCCGTCCCTTCCCACCCCGTCCCTTCCCACCCCGTCCCTTCCCACCCCGTCCCTTCCCACCCCGTCCCTTCCCACCCCGTCCCTTCCCACCCCGTCCCTTCCCACCCCGTCCCTTCCCACCCCGTCCCTTCCCACCCCGTCCCTTCCCACCCCGTCCCTTCCCACCCCGTCCCTTCCCACCCCGTCCCTTCCCACCCCGTCCCTTCCCACCCGTCCCTTCCCACCCCGTCCCTTCCCACCCCGTCCCTTCCCACCCCGTCCCTTCCCACCCCGTCCCTTCCCACCCCGTCCCTTCCCACCCCGTCCCTTCCCACCCCGTCCCTTCCCACCCCGTCCCTTCCCACCCCGTCCCTTCCCACCCCGTCCCTTCCCACCCCGTCCCTTCCCACCCCGTCCCTTCCCACCCCGTCCCTTCCCACCCCGTCCCTTCCCACCCCGTCCCTTCCCACCCCGTCCCTTCCCACCCCGTCCCTTCCCACCCCGTCCCTTCCCACCCCGTCCCTTCCCACCCCGTCCCTTCCCACCCCGTCCCTTCCCACCCCGTCCCTTCCCACCCCGTCCCTTCCCACCCCGTCCCTTCCCACCCCGTCCCTTCCCACCCCGTCCCTTCCCACCCCGTCCCTTCCCACCCCGTCCCTTCCCACCCCGTCCCTTCCCACCCCGTCCCTTCCCACCCGTCCCTTCCCACCCCGTCCCTTCCCACCCCGTCCCTTCCCCCGTCCCTTCCCACCCCGTCCCTTCCCACCCCGTCCCTTCCCACCCCGTCCCTTCCCACCCCGTCCCTTCCCACCCCGTCCCTTCCCACCCCGTCCCTTCCCACCCCGTCCCTTCCCACCCCGTCCCTTCCCACCCCGTCCCTTCCCACCCCGTCCCTTCCCACCCCGTCCCTTCCCACCCTGTCCCTTCCCACCCCGTCCCTTCCCACCCCGTCCCTTCCCACCCCGTCCCTTCCCACCCCGTCCCTTCCCACCCCGTCCCTTCCCACCCCGTCCCTTCCCACCCCGTCCCTTCCCACCCCGTCCCTTCCCACCCCGTCCCTTCCCACCCCGTCCCTTCCCACCCCGTCCCTTCCCACCCCGTCCCTTCCCACCCCGTCCCTTCCCACCCCGTCCCTTCCCACCCCGTCCCTTCCCACCCCGTCCCTTCCCACCCCGTCCCTTCCCACCCCGTCCCTTCCCACTCCGTCCCTTCCTACCCCGTCCCTTCCCACCCCGTCCCTTCCCACCCCGTCACTCCCAACCCCTTCCCTTCTCACGCCGTCACTTCCAACCCCTTCCCTTCCCACCTCGTCCGCTCCCAGCTTACCAACGAAATGGGCTTAGCATACGCCCAATGGTCCCTCCCGCCCAGGGCTAATTTTTGGTTTCCAGCAACCCTTGTGATCAGTGTTGCACAAGTCCAAAAACCTGATTATCAGTGTGACACCTTGTTCAAACCCTGATCCACCAGGGTTTTCCTAGTTTTTGAAAATTATACCCTGTAGGATCAGTGTACCAGTTTTGCAAACCCTGGTGTATTGATATTATCGTTGGCAGGCAATAACGAAAATGTATTTCTGGCCAATGGAGGCCCCCCTCGTGCCAGCTCAGAGATGTTGCCTTTGCCAAATTTCAGTTTCGACAGTTGGCATGCGAGAACCTCGATACGGGAAAGGGGGGGTGGGTAGAGAGGGGGCTGGGGGTGGGGCGGCTCGGGGAGGGTATGTACTCGATTGAGGGTAAAACTCGTTACGAAGATCGGTAACCCTGGGCCGTCAGCGTACCTCAAACGTAAACCCTGGCCTATCAGGAAAATACAAGCTCCCGAAAAAATTACCCTAAGGCATCAGTGTGACAGCCAAAAACCACCCTGATTATCAGGGTATCAGGGTGATTTACCCTGATAAAATTAGCCCTGCTCCCGCCCTTTCATTGACCGCCCGCATCCTCTGCTTCAACTGCTGACTGCTGGGCGAAGGTGCTGGGGAATCAGCTGAAGGCGAAGTGGCTATTGAGTCGACTCAAAAGTCAAGTCACCTCGTTACAATGGCACACGGCGCATCCTCAGCTTCGACTGCTGACCGCTGGACGAAGATGCTGGCAAACCATATGTTTCCCTTCCCCGGCCCTCCTTCCTTATTGTGCCATTGTAACGAGGTGACTTTTGAGTCGACTAAAAAGTCACCTTGACTGCTGGACGAAGATGCTGGCAAACCATATGTTTCCCTTCCCCGGCCCTCCTTCCTTATTGACTCGCTCTGCTGTCCTCCCGTCTTTTTCCATTCTGTCCCACACGACACCCGCCCCTCTCTCCCCTGGCCACTCCACAGGTGTTTGCGGTGCAGCTGAGCAAGGAGATGGGCCTGGCGAATCAGCTCAAGGCGAAGCACAGAGCAGATTCCCTGGGGCCCGCCTCATGAACACCCCTCCTCCATCCCTCTCCTTCCCCGTACTACTTCACCCCTCCTCTACCCCCTCCTGCCTCCTCTCGCTTCACAGGTGTTTGCGGTACAGCTGAGCAAGGAAATGGACCTGGCGAATCAGCTCAAAGCAAAGCACGCGCTGAAGATGCAGACGCTGCTGTGCGACATGCTCATGCGCGAGCCGCCCGTTGCCCTCGTCACCAAGACACCCAACATCAGCGACCTTGTTCACTGTGATGGGGCAGCTTTATTGTACAACGGGCGGTGCTGGCGACTAGGGTCCACACCGTCTGAGCCTCAGGTGGGTGTGATGGCTGTGCGATAGAGAGTGTGGTTGTGTGGCCTGTAGGGGGAGTCAGAGAGGCCCCCGGGTCACCAAGACACCCAACATCAACGACCTCGTGCACTGCGACGGTGCTGCTCTGCTGTACAATGGGCGTTGTTGCAGACTGGGGTCCACTCCCTCTGAGCCCCAGGTGGGTGTAGTGGCTGTGCTATAAGATGTGTGCTCTGGGGTGCCTGTTGTACCCTATAGGGGGAGGGGACTCACACACGTCCACTCGTCACCAAGACGACCAGCATCAGCGACCTTGTGCACTGTGAGGGGGCTGCTCTGCTCTACAATGGCCGCTGCTGGCGATTAGGATCCACACCCTCTGAACCCCATGTGAGTGTAGTGTGTGTCCTTTGGTGCCTCATGTGAGCTCAGAGCCCCCTGGCACCCTCGTCACCAAGAACGCCCAACTTCGGCGAGCGCTGTTGGTGCCCTGTGGGGGACTCAGACGTCCCTGCCGCCGGCGCCAGGTGCTGGACACTGCCGAGTGGCTGCCCTGCTGCTGACCTTTGAGTCGGCCCAGAGGTCACGGCGTGTCTCCACCACCCACTCGCGCTCTCCCACTCCATGCCTCCGTTTCTCCCCACTCACTCACTGCCAATCGTCGCCAGGTGCTGAGCATGGGGGAGTGGCTGCTGCTGGCGCACCCCAGCCACTCACCACCCATGTGTTGAGAGCTTCCTATTTTCCTTGTGTCCCGATCTCACGTGCACTCATTGCACTGCAATGCCATGCCGCCACCACGTGCTCAGCATCACAGAGGAGTGGCTGCTGGCGCACCACAGCCACCCACCTGACATGTTGAAATCACTTTGGAGTATTCTCAGAAGTGTTCTTCCTTGTGTCCCGCTCCTCAAGTGCGCTCACTGCAATGCCATGCCACCACCACGTGCTCAGCATCACAGAGGAGTGGCTGCTGGCGCACCACAGCCACTCACCACCCATGTGCTAAGGCGTCCATGGCACACGCACGCTATCCCATTATTGTTTCCATGCCTTCCCCGCCCACTCACATGCCATGCCACAACCAGGTGTTGAACATAGCGGAGTGGCTGCTGACTGACACACACGCCACAGCGACTCCACAGGGTTCAGCACCGACTCGCTGCTCAACGCCGGCTACCCCCACCCACATGCATTCACCTCCCTCCCTTTCCTGCCTTCCCCACTCATGCACACTGCATTGCCACCACCAGGTGCTAAACACAGCAGAGCAGTGGCTGCTGCGGACGCATCACACATGTGTTTGAGGCGCCTCAAAGCACCAGATCTTCCTTCCCCACCCACCCACCTGCAACCACCAGGTGCTGAACATAGCAGAGTGGCTGCTGACCCACCACAGCGACTCCACAGGGTTCAGCACCGACTCGCTGCTCAACGCCGGCTACCCCCACGCGTCTGACTTGGGCGAGGAGGTGTGCGGGCTCATAGCCGTCAAGTTCAGCGATAAAGACTTCCTCATGTGGTGCGTTCCGCAATACGTTGCTCATGTGGTGTGTTTATGGTTTTGTTGCTCATACGACCCGTTGCACGTGGGCGGCCCAACGCGCTACACGCACGCACCTCCGTCAAGGCCTTCCTCCTTGCCCACACGCATGCCGTCTCTCTCTCAACTTCCCCCCACCCCCCCCTCCCCACATGCCTCCATCCATCAACCCCCAGGTTCTTCTGAGCGCATCCAGCCAGGAACTCTTTCCCCTGCCCAACCTTCCCTCCTTCTCCCCCCCCCGTCCTCTTCTGTAGGTTCCGGGCGCATGCAGCGAAGGAGGTGAAGTGGGGAGGGGAGAAGCACGATCCGCTAGACGTGGACGACCCCACACGCATGCACCCTCGCACCTCCTTCAAGGCCTTCCTCGAGACGGTGCACATGCGCTCTCAGCCCTGGGAGGATGTTGAAATGGACGCCGTTCACAGCCTGCAGTTGATCCTTCGGTCCGCGCTGCAGGTGAGCTAACTAGAGCTACATACGGAAGTGAAAGGAGTCCTTCAAGGCCTTCCTCGAGCCGAGGTGGTTCACATGCGCTCGCAGCCCCGGGAGGACGTTGAGATGTACGCCGTTCACAGCCTGCAGTTGATCCTGCGCTCTGCTCTCCAGGTGATCTGTGTTGCTGTGCTTCTAGCCTGTGGATTGGGGCAACTGGTAACCACATGGAGGGCGTTGAAGGGGGTCCTTCAAGGCCTTCCTCGAGTCGAGATGGTGCACATGCGCTCGCAGCCCTGGTAGGATGTCGAAATAGACGCCGTACGCAGCCTGCAGTTGATCCTGCGATCTGCTCTACAGGTGAGCTCTGGGCCGCTATGCTCCTTGCTTGGCTGTGGATTGGGGTAACTGGTAACCACATGTAGGGAACAAAGGAGTCCTTCAAGGCGGGCCTTCCTTGACATGGTGCACATGCTCTCACAGATAGCCCTGGGAGGATGTCGAGATGGACGCTGTTCACAGCCTGCTGCAGCTCATCCTTCGGTCCGCGCTGCACGTGGGTGGGCTGTGCTGCCGTGCTAACTGGTAACCACATGCGGGTCACTTTTGAGAATTCTCAAAAGTGATTTCCACGTGGGTGGGCTGTGGTGCCGTGCTAACTGGTAGCCACATGCGGGTCGGGTGCTGCTTTGAGAGACCGAGGGACATCCATACCTCTTGTGCCTGTCCTCTTTCCCTGGCTGATCTCTCTCGTCACTTTTCCCCACCTCCATCCCCCTCTCCTCTCAGGAGCATGACGAGGTGAAGCGGCGGCAGCTGATGCTAGCACAGGTGGCGGAGCTGCAGCTGCAGAGCATGGGGGAGATCAACCAGACGGTGACCCATGCTTGGTGCCTTGTGTGTGCCTCTACCCCTGACTGCCTCCCTCCTCCATCCCGTCTCTGCCTCCCCTCTCCCCAGGAGCATGACGAGGTGAAGCGGAGGCAGCTGATGCTAGCACAGGTGGCGGAGCTGCGGCTGCAGAGCATGGGAGAGACGAGATCAACCAGGTGGCCAATGAGACCGTGCCCCGTGCTTATTTCTGTGAGCCGTATACCTGGCTGGTTCCCTCCCTCGTCCCTTCCCTGCCACCCCTGTCTCCTCTCAGGAGCATGACGAGGTGAAGAGGAGGCAGTTGATGCTGGCGAGAGTGGCAGAGCTGAGGCTGCAGAGCATGGACGAGATGAACCAGGTGGCTAACGAGACTGCGCCCCGTGCTTGTTGCACTGTTCATTGTGCCCTCACCCCTGGCTGGCCCCCTCCTCTGTCCCTTCCGTTCCACCCCTGTCTTCCCACAGAAGCACGGTGAGGTAAAGCAGCGTCAATTGATGCTAGTGCGAGTGGCGGAGCTGCGGCTGCAGAGCATGGACGAGATGAACCAGGTGGCCAACGAGACCGTGCCCCGTGCTTGTTGCCGTGTGCCCTTACCGTTGACCCCCCACAGGAGCATGACGAGGTGAAGCGCAGACAGCTGATGCTAGCGCGAGTTGCAGAGCTGCGGCTGCAGAGCATGGACGAGATCAACCAGGTGGCGAATGAGACGGTGCGCATCATTGAGACCGCCACCGTGCCCATCCTGGGCGTCAACCGCAACGGCCAGATCAACGGCTGGAACATGCAGATTGCCAAGCTCACCGGTGAGCAGTTTACATCGGGTTCAAGGCAAGGGGTTTTGAGGGTTTGGGGTTTGAGGGTTTGGGGTTTGAGGGTTTGGGGTTTGAGGGTTTGGGGTTTGAGGGTTTGGGGTTTGAGGGTTCGAGGTTTGAGGGTTCGAGGTTTGAGGGTTTTGGGGTTTGGGGTTTGAGGGTTTGGGTTTTAAGGGTTTGGGGTTTGAGGTTTGAGGGAGGCTTGCAGGTTGTCAGCTGACATGTGGGTGGAGCATGCAGATCGCCATCCACTTCTCCTCCCTCTTCTCCTCCCACCATGTGTTGCCCCCCCATCTTCTCTGCCCTGCACTCACTCTCACTTGCCCGTTGTAGGCATACCAGCAGTGGAGGAGGCGATGGGGCGGTCGTTTCTGCAGGAGCTGGTGCTTGAGTTGACTCTCGTGCTCCCTCCCCTTCCCTTTCCCCCTTCCTCCTGTGCCCCTCTGCACTGCACTCGCTCTCTCTTGCCCGATGCAGGTGTACCAGTGGAGGAGGCGATGGGGCGCTCGTTCCTGCAGGAGCTGGTGGCGGAGGAGAGCAAGGCGGACACACAGAGACTGCTTGTATCGGTGAGTGGGTCTTGGGCAGAGGAGTGGTCGCACACTGTCAATGAGTGCCTGCGTGGTGCTGGTATGCGTGTGTTTGGTGCTGGCATGTGTGTGCTCCGCCCTATTTTCTTCTCATTCTCCTCTTCTACCACTCTCCCATAATCCCATCTTTTCCTCCCTCCGATAACAGTCGTTACAAGGCTGAGAGGAGTCGGATGTTGAAATCCGCCTTAAGGTGTGGCGCAGCGGGGTGCCAGCGGGCGTGCTGACCATGCTTTGCCTGCCCTACTGCCTTCCGGTCTTCCCATTTGCAGTCATTACAAGGCAGGGAAGAATCGGACGTGGAGATCCGCCTCAAGGTGTGGCGCAGCGGAGTGCCGGCGGGGGTGCTGATCATGCTGGTGAACAGCTGTGCCAACCGGGACATTCACAACCAGATCGTGGGCGTGTGCCTCGTGGGGCAGGATATCACCACCCAGAAGATTGTTATGGATCGGTGAGGAATGGGAAGGAATGGAGGAGGACGGGGGGAGAGGGAGGAGTGGTAGCAGGGATGCATATATATTGCTTTTGGCTTGGGTGTGTGTCTCTGGTGTGTGTCTCTGGTGTGTGTCTCTGGTGTGTGTCTCTGGTGTGTGTCTCTGGTGTGTGTCTCTGGTGTGTGTCTCTGGTGTGTGTCTCTGGTGCGGGGCAAGACATCACCACTCAGAGAATTGGCACGGACCAGTGAGGGGCCTGCTGGATCGATTAGGAAAGGGAAGGGAGGGAGGAGTGGCATATAGGGATGCTGCTCACACACAGTGCTTGTGGGTGGTCGTGTGTCTCTGTGCTGTGGGGCAGGACATCACCACTCAAAGGATCGCCATGGACCAGCGAGGGGCCTTTTGGTGTTAATGAAGGGGGCAGGGTGTTGAAAGGCGTTGGTATGTTGAGGAGTTGTAATCCTGTCCGCTCCCCCTTCTCCCCCCCTCCCTCTCCTCCTCTCCCCCCCCCCCAGGTACATCCGCTGTGAAGGTGACTACCGCACGAGAGTGCATTCCCCAAACCCCACTCATCCCGCCCGTATTCAAAATGGATGAGTACGGCATCTGCAGCGAGTGGAGTGGAACGCCGCTGGGGGTGGAACACCACAGTGCAGTTGGTGGCTGGGATATGTTGAGACCTCTTTGCCCTTGCTTAACTTAACCCTCCCCCTTCCTCCCACCCCCCCGGTCCCCTTTCCCCTCCCCATCCACAGATACATGCGGTGCGAAGGTGACTACCGCACCATAGTCCACTCCCCCAACCCGCTCATCCGCCCATCTTTGACATGGACGAATACGGCATCTGCAGCGAGTGGAACACTGCAGAGGGTGGGATGTGATTTGTTGGCACCTCTGTGCCTTGCTCCCCTTTCCATCTCCCCCTCCTCTTCTCCCAGGTACATTCGCTGCGAAGGAGACTACAGAACAATCGTGCATTCCCCCAACCCGCTCATCCCGCCCATCTTCGGAATGGACGAGTACGGCATCTGCAGCGAGTGGAACACGGGCATGAGCCGCCTCACGGGGCTGGGGCGCGGGGACGTGCTGGGCAGGCTGCTGCTGGGGGAGGTGTTTGGGCTCGACATGGCCATGCTGATGCTGAGGGATGAGGATGCCATGACTGAGCTGGAGATTGTGGTGAACTGCGCGATGGAGGGGCATGAGGACACCAGCAACCACCCGTTTTCGTTCTTTGCAAGAGATGGCAAGCTGCAGGTGAGAGGGTTGGAGCAGGTGAGGGGGCTAGTAAATACCAGCAACCACCACAATAGGCTTGGAAGCTGCTGGTGGTGGTGAGGAATGTGGCATGTCTTTGGAATGAGTGGTTGGTTGGTTGGTTGGTTGGTTGGTTGGTTGGTTGTGCTGTGCAATAAGGATGCGATGACTGACTTGGAGATTGTGGTTGTGGTCAACTGCGCCATGGACGGCCATGGGGACATGAGTAATCTTCCTTCCTCCTCCTTTGCGAGAGACGGAAAGATGCAGGTGAAAGTGGTTAGGTTGGAGCAGGTAGTAGGCGAAAAGGGGATTGGAAGCTTTTGCGGGTTAGGATATCTGGCATTGTGCTGTGGACCTTTCACCTCTATTTCTCCTGCCCTCTCCCACTGTCTTCCCCCTGATCCTCTCCCTTCCTTCCACACACAAACAGGAGGTGCTGCTAACAGTGAGCAAGCGCACGGACGTGGACGGGCGCATAACGGGCGTCTTCTGCTTCCTGCACTCCATGAACCGCGAGGTGCAGGAGGCCCTTAAAGCCCAGGCCGCCGCCGAGACTGCCGCGCAGGCCCGCATAGCGCAATCAGACGTGGCCAGAGAAAGCCTCCGGGCGCCCCTTGACGGTCTAGCCTTCATCCGCCTGTCTCTGCAGCGGTCAGCCAGCCTCTCGCCCGACCAGGTTCAGCTGCTTGAAACCGCCGCTGCGCTGGAAGAGCAGATGAGAACAATTCTGGCCGATATGGCGGATTTGAATGCGGTGGAGGAGGGTTATTTGGACGTGCAGAGGGTTGAATTCTCCCTGGTCTCGGTGCTGAACGCATCGCTAAGCCAGGCGTCGGGAGCAGCAATCGCCAAGGGGCAACAACTGGTCTGCTCAGTACCCAGCCCTATGAGAGTGCGAGTATTCGGCGATCCCACACGGCTACAACAAGTGCTCGCCACGTGTCTCCGCACGGCTGTCGAGCACACGCCGCCGACTGGTTGGATCGAGCTGAAGCTAGAAGCGCCGATGAGAGGAGCGGCTGATGTGCCGCCTCCGCAGGGGCACCCGTCGGCTGAACGGTTCAGATTCACCGTCGCACACTCGGGGGATGGGGTGCCGGGGCCGCTGGTGCAGGTGCTGGTGGGGAGGGGGGGCGTGGCAGCGACGGGGTTGCAGGGCATGGCGCTGCGGTTGTGTCGGCGTTTGGTGCATCTTCTGGGGGGTGAATTGGGTTACGCGTTTGAGAGCGGGCGCTGCTGTTTTAGACTGGACTTGCAGCTGCCTGTGAAGCACAAGGCTGAAGCTACGGCTGGTAGCAGAGCGTGAAAAGGGGAGAGGGCGGGGGTTGGTTGCAACAGGGTTAGAGGGCATGGCGCTGAGGTTGTGTCGGCGCTTGGTGCGTCTGCTGTGGGGGGGGGGGGGGGGGGGAATGGGATATGCATTTGAGAGCGGGCGGTGTTGCTTCAGACTGGATTTACAACTACCGGATAAGCACAAGGCAGAGGCAATGGCTGGTAGCAGAGCGTGAGAAGGGTGAAGGGGGCGCTGGTGCAGGTGCTGGTGGGGAGGGGGGCCGTGGCTGCAACGGGGTTGCAGGGCATGGCTCTGCGGTGTGTCGGCGGTTGGTGCATCTTCTGGGTGGCAAGCCAGGGTGCGCATTTGTGAGTGGTCGGTTCTGCTTTAGATTGGACCTGCAGCTATTAGTTAACCACAAGGTGGAGGCAACGGCAGGGAGCAGAGCATGAGAATGGGGAGGGGGTGAGGGAGGCATGTGTGTGTTTGTGTCTGCCTCTGTGTCTGTGTTCTCGTGTGTCTGTGTGTGTGGGTGGGTGGGGAGGGGGGGTGGGTGTTCGTGCGTGTGTGTGTGTGTGTGTGTGTGTGTGGTGCTTGGGTCTACCAGCAGCCGCTTGGGAAGCACAAGTTGGAGGCCACAGCTGGGATCAGGGCGTGGATAGCAAGACTTAGTGAGGGCGGTGTCAGTTCACGCTCACAATGTGCACTGCTCAGGGTTCAAACGGACGGATTTTGCAGCCGCTCCCACGGAGGAGGTTCGAGTGAAGAGGAGGAAGGAGGAGAGGAGGGAGAGGGAGGAGAGGGATGGGGACACAAGGAAGGACGGAGGCAGGAAGCGGAATGTACAGGAAGTAGGGATAGCAGGCACTGGTGGTGCGGTGTGGAGGAGAAAGGTGGGAGGAGTGCTGACAGGAGAGAAGGCACGGCAGGGCTGGTAGTGGGGGCCCTGACCTGAGGCGATTCTTGCCTCTCTTTTGGGTCTGTATCTTCACACGACTTATAAGAAGGGTCATGAAGATACCGTATACACAGCAGGGCAGTGTGAGTGAGTCAGGGTGCGCGTGGATGCTCCTGCATGTATAGCAAGGCAGAGGAGGGGGATGAGAGGAGGGGGATGAGCGTTGAGAACTCGAAAAACGTGGGTGTTTTTCCTTTCTATTCAGGTGGCAATGTTTCTGCATCCGCCTGCGCTCATGCTACCCGGCTGCCTTCCATCCAATCCAACGCCCATCCAGAGATTGTGGCAAAAGCAGTTACCGTATGGTTCACTGTTGGTGTCCATTTTTGGGGTTGCTTCATACAGTTTTGTGGCACGTGCAGTGATGGGTCAATGAGAATGTATGTGCGCTTCTTCTGTGTACAGTAAAGCCAGTTTAAATAACATCACCTCATAGGTACATTCAATATAACATTCAGGACGATATCACATTCACTTTAACCCTAAGTGGGTAAGAATATATGTAATGCAGCGACTGCCCACTGGCATGGCTGCAAGGTGTGATGTAAAGAATCAGTTTCGTAATGTGCGGCATCACTAAATTTACGGATTCCGTTTAAAAACAATATGATGTGATGCTTGTACCATACCATACACAAACTTGTATATATTGCACTGCTTGCGTCAGCTTGCTGAATTTGTTGGCAGCGTCGTCTAGCGGAAACCAAGCGCTACCGAGCGCTACCGACGCTACCAAGTGCAATATATCGGTGCATCCCTTCCTCCCATCGTCCCCCCACATGCTCCATGCTAGCAGATGTACAGTACCGTACACATCTAATCTACCTAGCTACAATTGTCAAATTATATATGTGTTACATATGTGTAGGCTGTAGTGGGGTAGCTAATATGGGGTATAGCCCCTTGAGGGTTTCATACTTGTACCCAACTTTCTCCTAGTTCATTCATTCCTGCTCGTTGATTCTGACATGGTTTTAGAGCAGTAGGTTCGTTGGACCGTTTTTTTCGGGCCCACCATTACCTGGTGACCGACTGCGGTTACCGCTTTACCCCACGCCCTGGCCTGCGCTGCGCCGTCAGCGCGCGCCCTGCCCTGCCCTGCCTTGCGTCACCCTGCGCCAGCGCCTTGCCCTGCGCCAGCGCCTTGCCCTGCGCCAGCGCCCTGCCCTGCGCCAGCGCCCTGCCCTGTGCGATGGCGCCCTGCCCTGCGCCAGCGCTCTGCCCTGCGCCAGCGCCCTGCCCTGCACCAGCGCGCCGCCCCTGCAAGCCCGTAAGGCCCGTGTGCCGCCCCTGCAGGCCCGTAAGGCCAGCGCGCCGCCCCTGCAGGCTCTCGCCGCCCGCGCGCCGCCCCTGCAGGCCCTCGCCGCCCGCGCGCAGCCTCTGCCCGACCGCGCACCGCCCGCGCGCGGCCTTAGCCTGCTCGCGCGCGGCCTTAGCCTGCTCGCGCGTGGCCCCTGCTGGCCAGCGCGCCGCTTCTTGCTGCGCGCGCGCGGCTTCTGCCTGCACGAGCACTGCCCCTGCCCGCGCGCGCGCTGTCTTTGCTCGTGCGCGCGCTGCCCCTGCTCGTGCGCGCGCTGCCCTTGCTCGTGCGCGCGCTGCACCTGTCTCCGCGCGCGCTGCCTTGCCCGTGCCCGTCGCGTAGCCCGTGCGGGCTGCCCCAGCCTGCCGCGTCGCCCGTCCGCCTTGCCTGCATGCGCGCCGCCCCCGCCGGCCCCGCACACGCCACCCGAGCGTCGTCCTACCCTAGTGCCTCCTCGCCGCCCTTCCTTCCCTACGTCCTGCCCTGCTGGTCGCATGACTTCTCTTTACTGCGGCGGTGGGAGCGGTGGCGGCGGTGGCGTCTGCAGTGGTAGTCGCTTTGGAGCTGTTCAGCACGGAGTCTCTGGCGGCGGCCAGATGCAGCTGCAGCGATGTCCGAGCGAGACCCTTACGCCCCCGCAGCTTCGTGAGTGGTACGCTCGTAGGTGTGGTGGCGGTGACAGTGGTGGCAGTGGCGATGCAGCTACTCCGTTGGGAGTTCATGGCGGTGGCCAGATGCAGCTGCACGGCGTCCGAGCGAGACCCTTACGCGCCAGCAGCTTCGTGAGTGGTACGCTCAGAGTGAGGGGTCTAGAAGTCCTGCACGCTGCCTGTACGTCATTTGCACAGGTGATCGGGCTGGTCAGACTTGCGGGACGCTTTCTCACACACAGGCTCGCTGCTTTGCCTTGTCGCCAAACACTTGAACGCCAAACACTGCACGCCTGTCCCTGTCTCGCTGGCTGACCCCTCTGGGGGCCCAGTGCTTGCTCGCTCCTCCATTGTGTTCCCGTGTCCGGCGGTCCCGTCCGGTGAGCTGTCTGGTCTCCACCTCCCCTCGTTCACTACGAAGAATATACCTCCGGTGAGCAACGCCGTCCTTCAGGATCATTGGGTTGATACCTTTACTCCTGGAGGACAGCGTGTGGCGAACTGCACGTGCTCTCGGACTGGCCGCCACTTGGCCACGTTCACACGTGCGCCTGGGTCCAGTAAGTACACCCTCACCACCGCGTCGCGCTACACCCCTTTGTCTCCTCAGCTGTACGCGTCCGCTCAGGTAGCTACCCAGTGTGAGTATCGCCGCCTGTCGCACCAGACTCTCCTTAAGCACCACCGCCTTGGTCACCCCTCCATGCCTCGCCTTTGTGGCATGCACTCTCGCTACCCGGTCTCTGGTCTTCCCAGGTCTCTGCCCTCCCTCCCTCCCTCGCCTGTGCCGCCCTGCATTCCTTGCGTCCAGTGGCGGCAGCGCGCCGCTCCTCACTCCTCCTCGTTCCCTCCCACAGAGGCTCCCTTGCAGACTCTACACCTGGACGTGTGGGGCCCAGCCCGCATCCAGGGGCAGGGCCGCGAGCGGTACTTCCTGCTGGTAGTCGACGACTACACGCGTTACACCACGGTCTTCCCCTTGCAGCGCAAGGGGAACGTCCCTGCTGTTTTGATCCCGTGGATCTGCGCTCTTCGTCTCCAGCTCCACGAGCGGTTCGAGTCGGACTTTCCTATCCTGCGTCTGCACTCTGACAGAGGTGGTGAGTTCTCCTCCGACCTCTTGCGAGCCTTTTGTGAGGAGCACAGCATCCGCCAGTCGTTCACGCTTCTGGCCTCTTCGCAGCACAATGGTGTTGCTGAGCGCCGCATTGGCTTAGTCATGGAGGTCGCTCGTACCTCCATGATCCATGCAGCTGCCCCCCATTTTCTGTGGCCGTTTACGGTCCGGTACGCTGCGCATTAGCTCAACCTCTAGCCCCGTGTCTCCGTGAAGGAGACTTCGCCCATACTACGTTGGACGGGGGAGGTTGGCGATGCGTCGCGATTCCGGGTCTGGGGTGCTCGTGCCTTTGTCCGCGATACCACTGCGGACAAGCTCTCCCCTCGCGCGATTCCCTGCGTCTTCCTTGGCTTTCCCCTTGACGCGCCTGGCTGGCAGTTTTACGACCCTGCCTCGCGCCGTGTCTTTGCGTCTCAGGACGTCACTTTTGACGAGCCGGTCCCCTTTTACCGTCTATTTCCCTACCGCACCGCCCCTCTCCCTCCCCCGCCGCTCTTTCTCGCTCCAGGTCCTCCCCAGGTAGACCCCCTCCCCGCTCCAAGTCCTGCTCCTTCAGGTGTGTCTCAGGTAGACCCTCCTCCCTGTCTGAGCCGGTTGAGGTCACAGGTGACTCTGACCCTGCTGGGGGGTGGTCTTGCTCGGGGTGTTGCGTCTGGGGTTGCTGAGCCTGGGGGTGCGGAGCCTGGGGGTGCTGAGCCTGGGGGTGCGGAGCCTGGGGGTGCTGAGCCTGAACGTGAGGAGTCTGGGGGTGCTGAGCCGGGGGGTGCGGAGTCTGGGGGTGCTGCGCTTGGGGGCACTAAGGCGCCTGGTGAGCAGTCTCCTTGGAGTGGCCGCCTGCGTAGTCGCTCCGCTGGTGCCTCGCCGCAGCGCCCTCGTTGGCGTGTCCCTCTCTCCCCTCAGCAGCTGCGTGAGTGGTACGTTAGCCATCAGGGTCGCGCTGCTGGAGCTGGGGGCCCTGCTGCGGGAGGCACTGGCATTGGAGGTTCTAGAGCTGGTAACTCTGCT